TCATACCATCAGGCAAACGTTTCCTGAGCATTCAAGGAAGAACCTCCAGAATGATCAACAGCTTCATTCCACAAGCTGTCAGAATGTTGAACTGCTGATCCAGATATGCAAACACTTCTTTGTTTAAATTGCTTTAAGTTATTGGATCCTGACAAAACACTCTTTCATCTTGCCTGTACCACTGTGGATGTGCAGCAAAATGACAACAAACTTGATTTGATTTGATTTCGATTTGATGAAAACAATAGCACATTAAAACTTGAATGCTTCAAATCCACCTACCAGCTCTCAGCAGCTCCCTGCAGCAGTGGCAGCTCTGTTTTATAAAACATGAAAAAATGATCAGATGGTATTTTATAGGAAGGCTATAATCACTGAACTGGCAGGCCTCTGGTCTGTGAAGCAGCAGCCGACTGACTGAATGTTAGAGAGCTACAGATGGTGACTGATAAACTATTATTATTAGAATTATTTGGTCCTCAGTGTTTTGTCACATTTATAGCAAATGTTATAGAGTTTTAGTCAGTTATACCCCAGTATCAAAATGACAAAGAAACGCAAAACAATACAAAAACATTTAGATTAAATATTGATAATTAATTAAATGCATTTAATATTTCTTAACACCACAAATATATTCCTGGCAGTGTGGAGGACTGGAAACTGTCATGCACACCAGTCATTTTTTAAGTACACAAACTTTTTTGTTGCACTGAGGGGATTTGCACCTCCTTTGTCCTCACAAGATTTAAAATTTACAATATGTATATTTTTGCTTATTCAATGCATAAAAATGCTGTCAATGCTGACTTCTGGGCACCTTTCAGTCCCCATTTAATGACTACTGATCTTTGTTCGGATTACATACTTTAAACAAATTTGTTATTAGTCAGTTTGTAGCTCGTTTTCATACAGACAAAGAAGTTAAAATAAGGTGTGTAGCAGTCAGCACTTAGAATATTAAAATAAAGCCAAAAGCAATTGTAGATTCTTGTAACTAAAAACGAGTAGAAACTCCAGTGTTCATAGCTGTGTAACTACAGAGTGACATCTAGTGCTCACATTGAAACTCCCTGCATATGTTCTGTTCTCTGATCTCATGTCAGGATGCAGGTTGCTTTTAAAGAGTCTTAATAGCTTTAGTTGTCATGTATTCACTAACATAAATGTAAAAAGTACAGCATTTCCCTCAAACATGTACAACAATGCACTACAAGCATAGTGGACGCTGTGTACAATCAAAATTTGTCCAGTATATTTTGTCATTTCATGTTTGTTGTTTTGTTTCTGTTTAAGTTGCTTTATGTCTGTCATGTTTAGTCATTTTTTTTTAGATTTAGGTCGTAATTTTCTGTCTTTTGTGCCACTGTTGTTTTGTCTTTGTGTTATTTGTATGTCTTTCTGAGACTATTTATCCTCTCTGTGGTCATTAAGTAATTGCTTGTGGTCATTTTGCATCTCTATGCAGTCATTTTATTTCTCTTTACCGTCATTTTGTGTTCCTTTGTGGTTATTTTGTGTCTCCATGTGGCCAATTTGTGTCTCTTTGTAATTTATTTGGGTCTCTGTTTTTGTAGTTTTGAGTCTGTTTGGTCATTTGTAACTCTTTGGGGTGAATTTGTTTTTTGTCTATGTATTTAGAGCACGTGTCCACAGTCAAACCAAACTGTGTTTGTATGGAAACAACTCATGCAGCTGCCAGTGAGAGCCACAGGTTTCTCAATAAACGTTGCTACAGAGTTTAAATTCCTTGAAGACATCTTATTGTTGACTAGAGCACTGATAGATTATTGCTTATTGATCAGACAGCAGCTGACGGATGCGTGCAGCTGTAAGTGGGACAGTGAGTCACAGTATCAGTGTGTCTCAGGTGTGTTACTGACCTTCCTCCACACAGGTACGCTGCAGCTCCGAGCTGACGTCACAGGGATGGGCGGGTCACGTGGTGGGCTCCGAGGGAAACCTGTGGTTTCACGTTACTGAAATGGGAGACAGAAGAGGAAGAGAAGGAAGCCGAGCGAACAAGGTAGGAGCCCCGCAGCCTGCTCTCATATCTAATGTTTTACAGTACGGGTGTGTGCGGGCAGCTGAATATTGTCCAGCAGCAGTTTGTTGTGTCTAAACGTAAGTTTTAATGCGGTGAACGAGACGCTGCGTCAACTTCATGGACATTCCGAGGAAAGTTTACGTCCTCTGCCGCCGCTATTACCGGATAAAAGCTGTAAAATTAACCGTTTTAGACCCAAAAACACAGATTTACGGTTGAAACCCGCCACGAAACACGGTGTGAGCTGAACATGGAGTCAAAGAGAAGTGTTTAGTTGACTTTTCCCGCTGATCGAGTGTCTGGCAGAGAGCCAGCTGAAGGTCCGCAGGTCGGTTATCAGGCCTCCGTCACTCTCAGGGTTTTCGCTATAAAGGGAGGAATATTGTCAAGAAGCACTTATTCCCTGTTTAACGGTGGATTGTTAGAACAGAGGAGCCTAATAACTGTCTCAACCTGGTGATGTGATGCATAAAGAATTCATAAAGTCACTGACAGTCGTGCTTGGTTGAGCCGCTATGTTTAATGACAGTGTGAGGCGTTCAGGTCCTTCAGTCAGGTAAACAACTGGTTGTACCTGAGCCGCTGCTCAGCAGGGCTGTAATCTGCTAGTTGTTGTCACGATTAATCATTTGGTCAATTAAACAGGATTAGATCATTAGGAACAAGTCATTACAGCATCCTGGATGAACAGCGACGTCCTTTGAATATCCAATTTTGTGCAACCAAAACCTCCAAGTATTAAATTTCCAGCAATTTAAAGCACAGTAGTTCTCACATTTCAGTGCAATGCACTGCTTTGTTGTCTTAAAAAAATACTATGATGTCCTCAAATATCTTATGTTGAGGATACTTGTCTTGTTCCACGAATAAAACAATTCATTATTTGCAATTTAATTGTAACTCTAATTTGTACTCCTAAAAATTGAAACAGGGACCCTGTTTTTGCTTATATCACATTTGATTTGTACATTGATTGTCACATTACATCATAGGGCTCTGCTTTGGTTACCTTTCTTCAAAGCTGACTTAAATGATTATTTGATTATTAGCTTTGTTGATTAACTATACAATTAAATATAATAATAATAAAACTAAAGTATATTCATATATAGCAGTTTTCTTGGAGCCTATCCCAGCCGACCCAGGGTGAAGGCACCAGGTCACCAGTCTATTGCAGTTCGAGACAGACAACCAAGCACACTCACATTCACACCTACGGACAATTGAGAACCACCAGTTAACCTCAACATGTTCTTGGACTGTGGAGAACCCGGAGAGAACCCACGCTGCACGTGGAGAACATGCAAACTCCACGCAGAAAGATCCCGGTGCACTCACCGGGACGCGAACCAGCAACCTTCTAGCTGCGAAGCAACAGTGCTACCAACTGCGCCTCCTTGCAGCCCTTGTTTGTACTCATTACTGCAAATTGAATTACACAATCTTTGTCTGCTGATATGTTATGCTTGTTTCTGGTCGTTTTAACTGTTGAACTGTAGTATCCATGTAACAGTACAATGTTTAACAGTGCCACAAACTGCAGAATCTGAAATGACTTTACACACTGAATACACACTCACTGAAACAGTTTAAACACTAAAACAAACATTAGAACCTTCATAAAACAAGGATTTATTGCAGGACTGTGTGTCAGTGTTTTTTTTTTTCCCATCTTTTTGCAGCATGCTTTTTATCACCTTATCTCTGCTTGTCTCTGCAGGTGATTCTTCAGCACACTGTATGTTCATACAAGGTTTGCATTCTGACCTGCAAGCCAATGTAAGTCGTGTTGAGTGACTGCGTGTGAAAGAGGTATTCAAGCACAGTTCATATTTTTTCAACCGCTCGAGGTCGTATCCTCTCAAAGAAATTGGCTTTCAGGGGCTGACTGCTGGTCAAGAATGTATTTTTGTGCTGTCTGCACACACCAGCGGTTATTGCAACAACAGCAGGATTCAGGGGCCGTGTTTGGTTGCAGCACAAAAATGCATTCTTGACTCGGCTTGCATGAACGATGCTGGGATCTTCACTCATGAGGGCTCTGGCTGAAGGGTGTTTTCTCTGGTGGCATCAGATACTGGGGGTTTTTACTATAGTGCTCCTTGATACATTTGCATGAATGTGGGGCTTGAATGTCTAATATGAAGTTCTTATCATTCTGGGACTGTTTTTTTATGTTTTTGCTTCTTCTCTTCATTCTTTGCCTGCTCTGTTCTGTTACTGATTTGATTTGCTAATAGTATGATTAGAGCTAAAAGAAATATTATTGGTGGATAGACCAACAATTAACCAGTAATTATTGGATAATCAGTTCACCCTTAGATAAAATGTAAAAAGACAGAAAGGAACACCTCTTTAGGCAAAATTACTGCAAATTGACAAATAAAACAACTATAAAGATTTAGATAATGATATAGATGATGCAATATAAAACAAAAAGATGCAAAATCACTGCAACGAGACACAAAAGGACCTCTTCTAGATGCAAAATGGCTACAAACAGGTGCAAAACACAAAATGACACAAAATTACTGGAAAAGAGATGCAAACTACCGGTAACTAAAAGACGCAAAGTGGATGCAAAATTACTGTGAACAGACACAATGACCACAAAGACAGACAAAACCGAACACAGTGGCTAAAAATGACTGTAAAGAGATGGAAAATTATACAAGCCAGATAAAAACAGACAAAAAATGGATGCAAATCTACAACAAACACTGCGAAGAGACACTAAAGGACATCCTCTATATGCAAAACAGCTGTATACAGTTGCTAAACTATCACAAGGAGACTCATAGCAACCTGAAAGTAATGAAAGCAACTGAAAAGAGATGCAGAATCACTGCAAACAGGCCAAATGACAGCAAAGAGTAAAAAAAATCACCACAAAGACATAGAAAGATGCAAAAAAAAAAAAAAAAAATGCAGGTACAAAACAATTGCAGGGTGAATAACACAATAAACAGACACACTAAACACTTCTGTGGCATTTTCTCTCTTTTCGCTACCTCTTTTGTGTCTTTGTGACTGTAAACTTTTAAAAATTGTGTTATATTTACCTTCAGGATCGTGTGTTTATAAAACCACCAAGGAGCAAGTACATAATCCAGCGTTTAACTAATTAAACTTATTCTATTGATTGACAGAAAAGTAGAAGTATCACTTTTTCTGACTTTTATCAGGAAAAAAATGCTAAATATTCACTGGCAGGTAAATGAGACAGGACTGTGAAAACTTAGACAACTAGAGTCGATTCACATCTCTCACTGAAGAATCTCAGTTTGGTGTTTTTACTTGATGAAAGACTTTACCAATCAATAAAATATCAGAATTGTTTTTTTCCAGTAGATGAATTGTCTAAGTGCCTGTTTAACATTATGTTATGATTGCATGTGTGAATGTTTTCAGGGACCATCACCATCCTCATGTCCTATGGAGGAGGCTTTTACGGACGCACTGAGCGTGTCCGCCAGGCGCCCCACTATGACCAGGTTCCCCAAGGCTCGTTACCCCGAGCAGATTCCTATGACCTGGAGCCACTGAGAGAGCAGCGAGCGCCTCATCTAGCTCAGAGCGCTGACCCTCTTCCACCTCCGCCGCTGCCCGATCAGCCTCCGGTGGGCCCTGAGTTCGATCCCAGTGGCAGCGAAGACGACCCCGACCAAGACCCTGACCCTGCGCTCGACATCAAACCGGTCCACCGCTTCATCCCCGACTCCTGGAAGAACTTCTTCAGAGGAAGCAACCGCAGCAGCAACAAGGCGTGGTCCATGCCTGCCTCCTCATACAACAACAACAACAGCACCTCCGAGGGAGTGCGCTGCTCCCCCCCACACTCCCCCGTTCCTGGATCATACCGGGATCATTATGGCGGCTCGGGCGGCAGCTACAACTCACGCAAGGAGCTTCTGGAAGCACGAGACGGCCATGAGTCCGTGTCGGGGCGCACCCACCACACTGGTCTGACCTACAGCGAGCGAGTGGAAGAGTACCATCAGCGCTACGCCTACATGAAGTCGTGGCCGGGGCTGCTGAGGATTCTGGGCTGCGTGGAGCTGCTGCTGGGAGCGGCTGTGTTCGCCTGCGTCTGTGCGTACATCCACAAAGACAACGAGTGGTTCAATATGTTTGGATACTCGTCTCCTGGAGGAGCGTACGGAGGAGGTTTCTACGGCGCTGGGACAGGCGGATCATACTACACTGGCCCCAAGACGCCGTTTGTGCTGGTGGTGGCAGGGCTGGCCTGGCTGGTGACTGTGATTGTATTAGTGCTTGGAATGACCATGTACTACCGCACCATCCTGCTGGACTCCTCCTGGTGGCCTCTGACTGAGTTCATCCTTAACCTGGCTCTGGCGGTGCTCTACATGGCAGCAGGTAGGTAACAAAGGTGCATCTCGAAAACTGTATTATCCAGAGAACCTGTGCGCTTTGAAATGTTTTTTGTAGTGCCTCAAGCCAGGGTGCTGAACTGGTCCAATTAAGCAAACTTTTGCCTTTATTTAGAGCAGTAGAAATAGACAGGTAAGGGGGGAGAAGAATGGGGAGAGACCTGCAGCAAAGGGTCATGAACGGGAGTCGAATCCACGACTACTGCATCGGGGAACTATAGCCCCTGTTTATGGGTCGCCCGCTCAACTAGGTGAGCTTTAGGGGCACCCCTGCAAAACAAATTTCTAATAACAGCCTGTTGTTTACAACCAACAACAGCAGTGTAGCTTTTTCTCACATTGCCACATGAATTGCTTTAA